TTGAATTTCGAGGGGCGCTCTCGTCCTCGTGATTGCTGTCGGCACTCGGTGGTTCCGCAATTTTTGGTTTCTGCCGCGACACTGGCGTCGACAGTTTTCGGCTTCGGTCGGACAACGGCAACGCCGCGTCCGGGTCTCGCTAAGGCCGCGAACGATTCGGAGCCAAAGGCGTCTCGCGGCGGCTGATCGAAGCTGATCGGGCGCGGCGTCGCTGGGATAGCGCTGCCACCGTCGCCGCCGTCGTGTTGCCGGCGCGTAGCGTCGCGCAATTAAGAAGGAAAAAGGGCCGCGGGCAGTGTGTCTCTGCCTCGTAAATCTCTCGGGGACGAGCATCTCGTCAACGTTGCCGAGAGCCAAGCGGGCCAGGGCGCGAAGAGCCGAAGCTCGGCGCAACGGTATGCGCCACTTTGTCTTAACGAGCCGAGTTGGCCGTTAATCACGCACGCGACACCGTGCTGCTCGCCTCGAAAGGACCCGCGCGCGGCAACGGATATTTCGTCGATAAGTCGTCGTAGATCAGAGGAAAAAAGAGAGTCGCGCCGGGAGTGCGCGCGCGCGGCCTGCCGGCAGTTCGTCATGCGGGGGAAAGGCGAGAGTTGCTCGTTAGTCCGCCTCTCGCGGATCAGAGGCTGGCGCGGCTCGTTAAAGCTTCGCGCCGTCGAGATCGTCCCCAGCCGTTGCTCTCGCTGCGTCGAGTGCTGCTGCCATAAGTCATGCGCCGCTGCCAAAGGGAAGGACGCCGCTGCTACCGAGCCACGCGTGTCTCGTTTCGCGCACTCAGGTGTGACGCCCGCCTTTTTGCCGCGCTCGGCTCGAGGCTTCTCGATTCGCCACTCGCTGTGTTCCTTTCGCACCGTCGCAGTCATTCCGCTTGGGCGCGCATTACGCGACGCGCGACTGATACGCCAATCGACTCCGCTCATAAAAGCCGCGAAACAAGCTTCCTCGGTCGATGATCCGACGTTGATGAGTCCGACCGAGGCGAAGAGAGCGCTCGCGATTCGCATTCCGCCGAGCGAAAGGCTAACGAGGATGTTCGTCGAAAAGAGGATTCACGTTTAGTTGGAGTAGCGCGGCCGAGCGTAAAAGCGTCGAAAGCCACTTGTTCGCTGCCGTTGTCGTCAATTTATTTTGACGGGGAACTTTGGTTTTTCGCGAATACCGGGCGCCGCGAGCGCTCCTCTATCCGTCAGCGTTTCGGATCGCGACTCCGGCCAAATTGAAAGGGACTCTTTACCGATGCGAACGGCTGGTGCCCAAAGAACGTCAAGTATATTGCGCACAGACACGTCGAACGCGAGCACAGCGCGCAAAGAGCGCTCTCTCGCTGGCTTTGGCGGTGACGCGTGTAGCTCGCCTTAATTTTAATGGCATTGATCCGGCGCGGAGGAATGTGGGTCGCGCCCATATATAAGCGGCACGCGGCGCGTACGCTCGTTCGCGTTATCCTCGCGCGAGCGGCTCGTCCTGCGCCTGGCAATGACATCGACGCACGCATCGAAGGCGCGCGCGCAGCGTCTCCGCGAGCAGCTCCGGTCGACCGCGGGGGCGAGGGACTCGACACTCCTCGTGCGCGATCGAAAGCGCTTTGCCCCCGAAGTCACAGCCGAGACGGAGAGGCTGACGCACGCGAGACAGGCTTGATCCCGTGTACGCCGCGTAGCTTCGAGAAAAACTCATCCAATTGTTTGCCGATTAGCCACGCGCGCGTGGAGGTGCTCGTAGTCGGCTTGATGGCTTTGTTTTCAAAGCCATTTCCTTCGGCTTCGTCTTCTGCGCGTCGGTTCCGCTGAGTCAAGCGCGCGCCTTGGCTGATTCATCCTTTCGATCGTCGCGACGGATGTCTACTATAATATAATCGCCCATGCAAATTTTCTTCGCCGGAGCTTCGTTACCGCGAGCGCGCGCACGCGCCGGATGCGACAAAACGGTCTCGCTTTGTTCGCGCGAGCTTTGCGAAACCGATTCCCGCGTCGAAGAGCTCTCCCAAGGCATCTCCAACAATTATTCAACTGTTATAAATCAAAGGTGCAAGTGCCTTCTCTCTCCCGGAGTATAATTGCAGAGCCTCGAAACAGTGGGCAAACAGCACTTAGCGCAGCCAGCATCTCTGGGAAATTAGCGGCGCTTATAGCGTCCGAAAAAAAGAAGCTCGAGAGAGAGAGAAAGAGCAGACAGCGGCAAGAAACTGGATTTCCCGCGGGCAATTATGTATTGTAGGGTGCTGGCAGCGGTGGTACGCTCGCAATTACCCGAGAGCGCCGACAAACTCTTCGGCCGAATTAACGGACCGCGAGTAAGGAGAAAAGTCCGCGCGCGTCTCGGCCGAGCGAGTACGTTTCGGATTATCTCGGCGATGCTTGCGACAATCGGCTGGCTCTGCGGCAACGAAGAGGCTCGCGACGCCTCGAAGGCACAATGGAAAAGCTATGCCATTTGCGTACCGTTCAAAGGATCGTACTCTCTGCAAACTTGGCGCTTCGTTACGCTCGCGCGAGGTGCGAAAAAAAAAGGACAGCCGCGCAAAGTCTCTGTTCCCCGTAATTAATCGAGTTGAAGGCGCTTCAATTCATTGGCGCCTCCGACAATTGCTTCGTTTGACAGACCGACGACGCCTGGGCCCCGCGCTCCGACCTCGAGTTTTTCAAACAAAGATATTCAACGCCCAAACGACGTCTTCGTTGGAAGCCATCTCCTTTCAATTCCACACCACATTGACATTCAGCGGATCGCGCCGAAAACTTTTGTCACTGCTATATGCAGCTGCCCGTAGGGCTCGCTTGTTACATTCGAGATTCGGTGCCAACGTAAAGTCAGGCGCGCGAGGCGATCCACACCGAGTAACCATCAGCAAGGGCGAGCAACTGTTGCGACGCGCCCGACAGTCGAGCTAGCTAGAGTGCATTATGCGCCGCGGGAGCGCAGCGTGCGATGGGTGCACTGCGTGATGCATTTCACACGGTGCGTGGTTTGTCTTCTGTACACCCGTGGCGCACCCCCGTAAAGAGCCGATGCCGCGTCCTCGGTAGACGACGCGGAACCGCGTTCGCTGTCTAAAAGTATCGTAGTGCGCCGCGTACGCGCGACGCGCTGTTTTACTACTCGAGCCGTTAGGCGAGACGCATCGCGCATATGCCCGAGGTAGTTTATTAGGAGGGCGCACAGTCGTCACTTTACACGGCGCGCGTGGAAAAATATAGTCTACCGCTTGCGCGCGGTCGCGCGGTGTGGAAAGCTGTGCTCGTCGATCGGGAATAACGAATCGACATTTCGCACGGCGACCGGACAGAAATAACTGCTCTTCCACGTGCAGCTTGGTTGAGCGTCATGCGCGATTATAAATTGCGCTTCGATCGCAGCACATCAACAGCGGGCGACACGTAAAAGCTCGATGCATCGACTCGCATCAAAATTTCAAGACACGTATACGTGTCCTTCGAGTGAGAGTTTCCATTTCATTCACACGAGTTTTATCCGTCGCAAAGATACACACACTCACAGAGAGAGAGAGAGAGAGAGCTGCTTCGGGTGCAAGAAACTAGAGCAAGGTAATTGAAGCGCTCCAGCTGTGTAAACAAAATTATCCGAATACGTTCCAGCCGCGGCGCTGAGAATAGTCCTGTTTTTTTTTTCTTCGCAGCACCGCCTCCCTCCCTCGTTTATGCTAATGCTCCTCGTCATGAAGTTCTCGAGCAAACGACGAGAGAAAAAAAAACGTCAAAGTTTTTTGCACGCGTGAGTTTCGCCGATGATCGATTCGGATAAGGTATTATATCCACGCGCCTCGTTGTTTAACGTCGCGAGAGCGAAGGTCAAAGTTTCTCGAACGCCGCTTACATCACTACCTGCAGATAACGAGAAATCATTTTCAGCTATGTGCGCGCGTACACAGTCGAGTCGCGCGGTGCGGACTCGATTACACTTTCAAATAGACGATTAGCCGCACTCGCGTTCAAGTTAATCACTCGCGCAGTTACGCGAGTGGCAGCGCCGCGTGGCGCGTCGATGATGCTTCACCCGGAAAGACGATGGAAGAGCGCGGCGCCGATTGAATAACGAACGAGCGAGTCGTCGTTAGCTCGGCGGTCAGGGAGGAGCGGCGAAGCAGAGCTCGCGGCTGAATCGGCGGTGGCACGCCGTATCCATCGACGAGCGGCGCCGGCACAGGCGGCGCGCACCCGTGTCGCGAATCGTTATCTGTTTGCGCGAGAATCAAGCACGTACCCACTCCATGCCCCCGCAGTCTTACGCGCCGCTAATTAGCTACTCTCTTCCTTCCCCCGGCTAATTTACCTGAAAGCTCGGGCTCTTTTTGCTCTGGAAACTTTGAAAAAAAAAAAAAAAAATTCTCGCTCCGCGCACGTCCCGCGCGCTTCGTTTATGACTGCGTGCCGCCTCGTTCGTTTTTTCTTCGGCTCGCGGCTTTGATACGCCGCGGCAGCCTATAAATCTCCGAAGAACTTTGCGCGGAGGATCGAAAATGCGAAAAGAGGCTGTTTTCTTTTGCGTTCGGTCGCGATGCGCGCATGCGGCCACAATAATTGTCACGACGCCGCTACCTCGTACAGCTGGCAAAGATAGCTCGTCATTAGCAATTCCAACGCGCCGAGATAAGATACTCCGCGGGAACGCAAACTCGCGAGTCGGCAAATTACGCGACAAAGACCAACAAGACGAGCAAGGTGCGCGCACACGTCGTTCGTTATAAACGCGCCGGCCGAGCGCGACGACGGGACGAACAATCGCCAAAAAAAAAGTCAAAGTTCGCGTCGTTACGGAACCGCGCGGGATAATAAGCCGCAGCGACGCGCGAGAAGGAGGCACGGAGCGTCTTTCTCGGCGAAAGGCAAACAACGAAGAGAGCGTCCCGGGGGGAGCTAGGGATGCTGCGCACAGGTGCAACGACGCTTGCGCGCTCGGCGCGTACGCGGCATGTGCGGCGCGCTCGCGGCCATCGGCGGCAGTGGGGGATATCGCGGGCGCGTAGTCGAGGCGCGCGCGCGAGCGCTCGGGCCAGTCGAGCGCCAGAGCCGTCGGAGCAGAGACGCGCGTGCGGCCGATTGTCGAGGAGCGCTGCGCGCCACGCCAAGAGCTAAGCAGTCCGAGGAAAAGTGCCGCTGCGGTTGGCAGACGTCGCGGAGTGCGGCCGGGCTACGAGATGACGAACGGCAAGTGGTCGCTGATCGCGGCGACGGTGCTGTCGGTGTCGCTGCTCGGCTCGCTGACCGAGGGCTTCGTCACCACGGGACCGCAGTCGTCGCCGTCGTCCCAGTCAGGTAAACGCAGACGACTTGGTTTCGGGGAGCCGGGGAGGGGTTAGCGCCCCGGTGAGCACGCGAGCGGCGGAGACCGGAACCGGCGCGCACGTGACGGCACGCACGTGTGCGCGCGGCGGCCGAAAGTCGCGAGGGCGAAAGCCCCGTGCCACGCGCCCCACGCGACGTCGCTCGCCGTCCAAACTCGTCGAGTCGCGCTTTCCGGATTGAGCAATCGGGAGAGTCTCACCGGTATGTAAACAAACGAATTAATTATAGCTGTCGAGGCAGAAGCCGCTGTACGTGTAGCCGACAGATTCTCGGGGAAATGGGCACGAGGCGCGACAATGGGAGCATCGATTTACTACGCAGAATCAAGAAAGCGAGACGCGCTCTCAATCTTAGCTAGCAGCGGATTACGTGGCGCGCATTGGAGTCGGGTCAAGCAGCCGAACACCTACGAGTGCCTCGCCGGCTGCATTTCTCTCCTACGTCGAGTGCGGCGCCCCCCCCCCCCTCCCTCTCTCTCTTCGACGAGAGATCTATTTGAAATTCATCGACGGATATGGTTAAGCGTTCCGAGCGTCCGTAAAATATGGCAGTGTGCAATTTACCTCTCAAAGGATGGCCTTTTTTTTTCTCTCGTCCTCGCACGATTGCCCACATATTTATTTTGCCTCGAGTTTTCACGGTCGAATCGTCAAAACATGTGTCGGCCGAGTGCCGACAATTTACACGTAATTCACAGTCGAACAGATAAGTCGCTGGCGCGTAGCAGTTGCTACGACGAACGCTATCTCGATCGTTCTATGCCGCTCGAACTGAAATAATATAAAGAAGAGAGGAGACAAGCTATTCCGAGATCGCTACAAGTGGCTATACACGCGAGTTTCAATTAGCGCCCCTCGTCGCGCAAACCAACGCAAACCAACACTCGCGCTATCTTTGTTGTTTACTCTAAACCTCTCGATCCGATAACTTTTTTCTTTCTCGATAAGCGCATGTCGGATTTGTAGCCACGGTTGGACAAAATGAAAACTGACGAATTTTTCAGGTTATTACGTCGAGAACGGTTGTTGTGCATTAGTCGAGGCCGCTTCACAGTGCTACATCGACGGCAATCGATTTTTGTTGAAAAAAAAAAAAAATAAAATAAAGACAGATATACATGTGACTCGACAAATATGCCGCGTTACGAGATTAATAAAAATGGAATGCAACGCGGAAGGCGAGGGCCGAACGGTACAACTGAAAAGTAAACACCGGGAGGTGACACGGCAAAGGTGAAGAGTCAAGCAAGTCGGGAACGGCGATGCGTATCTGCGCGCGGGATTTTCGGATTTCCCAAGTGGCACAAGCGAGTCCGAGGCAGCCAACGATCGGATCAAGGTGTCGCTGGGCGATTTAGAAATGTGGGCCAGTACGTCTGCGGATACGGCGCGTCGTTTCTTTCGCCCCCGCCGTTCGAGGGCCACGAGAGCTCTATCCAAGCAGCTTGGAGGACAAGTGTTCTCCGTTTTATCGCCTCTGGGAATCACACACGTGCTCGCCTACATAATTATTGTTATCTCGAGTGGCGATCGCGTTCGGCCGATCGCAATCGGATTATTAGTTCGTACGAATACGCGTACGCGTGTTTTTGTTTGTCTCTTCCGAGAGCTCGACTGATTTGTTAATTCTGCTTTTACATCTAGGAAGGTATTTTTTGTTCTCGAGCTCGCAATCTTGAATGGAAAGTAATTGAACGGTTTTTTTACTTCTCTCTCTCTTTTTTTATTTCTACGGAGGGAATAAGGACGAATTATTTCAAGCTCAAAGTCATGCTCAACGATGTGAATTACCTGGGCAAAGTGATCGCCGTACAACCTTTGGATCGAGATCGTTGCACGAAGATTACATTTCGTGTTTGAGGGGCAAATGTCGCTGGAAAAGAAAGCAACTAAAATGGCACTCTTAAAGGGAAAAAAAGAAAGAGGGATACAAACAGAAGAAATGAATACCGGATCCACGCCGAATTACATTCATGAAGGTGAAAGCATAGCGCCGAAATAAAACTCGCGCGCGGCGCGCAGCTGACGTTAGTTTAGCACGTGACGTTCCCTCGGCGGACGGGCGGTTTTATTTTCCACCGTGAGCGTGGACTGTACTCTCTGTTTCTTCGTTCTCTCTCTCTCTCTCTCTCTCTCTCTCTCTCTTTGTTTTCCCATGCTATGCAGATTCCGTTTTTATGTAAATAGAATGAAAATAGATTGCGCCTTTTTTCAGCCGTTCTCCGCACGCTTTTATACCCGATTAGACGTGGAAAAGGTTGAGGACTTTTTTCCATTGTGCGTCTTGCTTTTTTCTCTTCGTCGACCCTGGAAATTGCTTTTTTTACATCCCTTTATCTGGCGCTTCGCCCTGCACAGTTTTGTCGGTGGTTTTAAACAAATACGCGTCCAGAGACAGGGAAACACAGAGAGAGAGTCAACCACTTTATTCGCGCGCCGACTACTTTAGCTGGCTAATTTAATTTCGGCGTAGTCACCAGAGTGATAATTGTCGGGCAGTTGCAACGATACGGGGATCCCGATTAATTCGGAGGATAAAAATTGATAATAGGAACAATTTGACGTTTCGAGTTTGATCGTCAGCTCGGCGCTACACGCTCGCCATGCGCGAATGTCTCGCGGCTGCGAGTTTAATTAGCGATCGCGCCATCGCCGAATTCCAATTCGCGCGAATGCAATAATAAATTAACGGGATAATGCGCGAAATTCGAACGACCGGGCATCATCTTCGTAAAAATAATCCGGCAGGCAGCGTGTAGCTTTGTCTTAATCTCCGGCAAAGCTCATTACGACGCTTCCCCGGCAGAACTTGGGCTGAAAAAGCGGAAAGGGGGGCGGGGCGAAAAGGTCGGTCCCCGCAGGCTTCTCGCTCGGTTTTAATGAAATTCAACAACTGCTATCCCGCACGCGACTGTATCGCGCCGCCGCCGCCGCCGCCGCCGCCGCCTCCACCCGAAAAGCTCGCCAACAAAGAAAACTTTCTTAATCTCTATCCGGCCCTCATTACGAAATAAATCACGCCAACTTTCGCGAATCGGTTGACGCGGCCAAATCAAATTAAAAGAGGAGGGAGAGCGAGGGGGGGTGGGCAGGGGGAGATCCTCGAAAGTGGCCGTCGGGCAACTCGCTCACCGCGCGGTAGTACAGAGGAATGCATTTTCCGCACTCGTGGCGCCGACGCTGGAGCAACTCGCGCGCGTCGCTCTTTTTCCTTTCCCCTCGCGCCAGCGACGGGCTGAGCGCTCACTTTGTGGATTTTTATCGCGGATAATTAATCCGACAAAGACGACGAGCTCGATCCCGGCGGCTTTTCAATTAGCATGCAGCAAAAGGCGGAGAGAGAGAAAGAGGGGAGGACGGGGGGAGCACGCGATCTCGCGCCGGCCGCGCTCGGAGAGGAAGCTCCCGCGATCGTCGAGACGCGGGCAGCTTTGGCTGTCGCGCGCTGGTTTATATAATCCGCGAGCGAACTTGTCCCCGGCACCTGGCACTTAGCGCGGCGCGCGATATCAGCGACGCGAATTTCACGATTAGCGCGCCATTATACGGGAAATTCACGCCAGCCAACGCATTTCAGCTCGCGAGCTAACGTTTTAAGCTCGCGCACCTGTCGCGCCTTCCTTACCCAATGCGTCACCGCTTCGTCCGGATTTCGCCGCGCCAAATTATTTTGCGCGCGCACAATAAACGAGTCGAACGCGCGCCAAGCGAGCGGATCGTTAACGCGCTATTTGTAGCCTCGCCTCGATTATCCGTGCAAGGGCATGCCCACTGGGCTTGTTAACTTTCGTTCGCTCTCGCTAGTCAGTGGCGTTTGGCTGGGTTGCGAAAGTGCCTTTTTGAGAGGCAATTCGCGGCGCACGCACGGTAATAAACGCACGAGAGTCGACGTGCTCGCGACGCAGGTCTAGACGAAAGCCTTGGTTTTTGCAATGGTTGAGTGGCCGAGAGGCAGGCGCCGCGCGAGGATATCAGATCGATAGTCGGCGGGGCAAATTGTCGGGCGGCGCGCGCGTTAACGAGGCAAACTCGCGTGTACCGCACGTGTATACGTGTCTCGCTCACCTGGCTGCGCGCCAAACGATCCCAAATATAAGTCGAATCTACATTTTTAATTGGCCCTCGCGGACGCGCTCGCACACGAAGACAATGCGCGCGCGGCACACGGCACACGGCACACGGGGGCGACAAATCACGCGATGCATAATTGAAAGCGAAATAAACCCTCGCGGCGCTGGCGGCTGGCGGCTGGCTGCTGGCGGCGCCATTGTAAGACGATCGGGGGGATCCTTTTGTCGTGGGCCGTACACAATGCGCAGCTCGAGCAATGCATATTCCAGCGAGCGCGCCAGCCACGAGAAAGCCAATATTTGGCAGATGTCGAACACTCGCGATCGTCCTCGCTTCTTCCGCGCTGCGACGCTGCCTGCCGGCTGCCTCTTTATCGTCGTCGTCGTCGTCGTCGTCGTCGTCTTCGAGCGAGCGGCGCTCAGCCTGTAAGCTGCTACTTCCGCTGCCGTGTCCATCACCGGCGAAAAACGCTCGAGCGGCAGCTCGCGCTATACCACACCCCGAAAAAAAAGAAAGCGACGGCCGCGCGTCTCGTCAAAGCGAATTCCGTCCGCCGAGATCTTTCGCGTTCGTTTGTCGGATTAAAGCTGGCAAGCTCAAAAGCCGGCGTTCGTCATTCAGCCCCGGCGCTCCACTCTTTCCGTTAATTAATAAACTGCTTTTATCCCCGGGCAAAAACTTGCGTATTATGCGCAACGCGCTTAATTAACGGCGTCGGATCATTTGCTTGAGCAACTTTGCCGCCGCGCGACGTATGGAGACGGAGAGGAGAGCACGCGTACGCGTGAGCGAGCGCGCACAAAGAACAAGAGGGCTTATAATGGCACTTGCATTAAACTTCATAATCCAGTGAGAACTAGGTCCTCCTCCTCGCCCCATCCAGCGGCGTCGCGTATATGA